TCTGTCATCTAAGTCCTGGACATAGTCTGAGATTGGAACTAAACTCCAAAGGGAGGTATTCTGGATTGATGGATATAAACGTGTATACTTAGAATTGTTACTCTCTATTTAACCTTCCTGTGGATTTTACCATATTATCCACATCCTGAAAGTACTCCCATCTCCTGGGCTGCGGGTAAACATGTGGGTTCCTAGGCTCCATTCCAGATTTACTATCTCAGAATGTCTAGGGAAGGGGGCTGGGGGACCTGTAGATTCAGCACTTACCCCAGGTGGTCCCTATTATTAGAGAAGTTTGGGAACCCATGTCCTATGTGGAAATAATTTAAAATTCATTACAGCGGTGACACATAACCTTGACTGCATATTGAATTGCCCATACAGCTTCGAGAATCGCCTTCCTCATTAAGTGGCTCGATCTCGGGAGGCCACGCTTGGGTATCAGCATGTTTAAATGTTCTGCCAGGCTTGAGAGTCACTAACTTTCAGTGTTCTTGAGAACTGAGCAGTTGTCTTTGAGATAATTGTCAATTTTTTGGCACACTGGAAAAATCAAGCCTGGGTATAACTGAGTAGAGTCTGTGTCTTTGCCTAACAGGAATGAGACTGCTCTGGTTTTTATCTTTTTTAGATAAAAAAGGTCTCTTGGTTTCAATTCTTAATATCAGACCAGTAAACCAAGTTAAACTTCTGCAGGAAACAGGTGTGTGCCTGACAACTAGTAAGTGTTTGGTAAACGTTAATTACTACTAGTAGAATCCAGATGTGAGCTGAGCTCTTTTAGCTCCTTAAACTCCAGACCTGACAGCAGGTGGACGTCATTCCATGTCCTCCGCAGGACGCCTGCCGACTTGGTGTCTGTGTGGTTGTGGGTCAACTTCTGTGCCTAAAGGTTCTGTTCTGCACTGAGTTGACCCCGATATTAATCATCCCTCCTTCCCACTTGAGGAAACTGAGGCAGAGCAGTTACGCAGGGGAGAGGTAAGTCAGACTCTCTGGCATAGAAACAAGGGCTCAGGACGAATATGCAAATTATTCAGATGGCTTCGAATGTGCACAACAGTTCAATTTCTCTTAACATATGTGTATTTTGATGCTTTCTAAAAAAGGATCCTACAGTCAAAAGTTTTTTTTTGTTTGTTTGTTTTTGAGACAGTCTCACTATGTAGCCCTCAGTAGAGTGCTGTAGCATCATAGCTCACAGCAACCTCAAACACTTGGGCTTAAGTGATTCTCTTGCCTCAGCCTCCCGAGTAGTTGGGACTACAAGCTCCCATCACAGCACCCAGCTATTTTTTTGTTGTAGTTGTCATTGTTGTTTAGCAGACCCGGGCCAGGTTTGAACCTGCCAGCCCCAGTGTATGTGTCCGGCACCCTACTCACTGAGCTACGGGCACCAAGCCCAACAGTTTTAAAAAGAACAAGGATAAAGAGAAATTTGAACAATAGCATAGGACTTAAAAATGTAAATTTTAGATAGTTTTAAGGCAGGTCTTCTAGTTTCATTGATCCACATACATGTAGCATTTTCACTAGCCACTGAGTAGACCATGTGGCATTTGCGTGTGTTTGCTACCTGACTTTTGGTCTTCCTATTTAATGGGACAAGTTCTCTCCCTCTATTTCTCTCTCTCTCTGACAGACTATTTTCCTGAGGCGGTTTGGAATTTGGGGGTAATGACATATTAACTAGTTGGGAATGTGTGAAAGGGCCCGGAGCCCTGAATCTTTGACCACCACCTCTGTTATTTCCAGAGGGGCCTCTGCCATTGAAGCCCCACCTGCTGGAGAAAGGCTAGTCCTGAGCCAAGATGAGGAGCTGATGGCAATTAGCAGTGGAACCTGTACTTTGTGTAATGGGTTTTACAGGCTAGAATAAGGTTTCCCAAGGAAATTGACTAGAATAAGCGTCCCCAGGGGGATCTGTTTTTTCAACGAAGAGATACGCATAGTACCCAGTCCCCCCAGGGTTTGGGTGGCTTCTTCAGGAGTGTGGCAGAAGTAATTCCCAGCTTGCTACATCTCATTCCTGCTCTGGGCCTTTTACCCAATAAAACATATCAAAATGCAAATAAGGTGAATGAGACTGGTGCTAACACAGGGACAGCCTTGAATTCATCTAATTTATAACAAATATAAATCTCTTGCAAACGCCAGTATTGTATTCCATCTGGTTATGATTCACCATAGTTGAAAACCACTAAAGGAGACATGTGGAAGACGCTGTGAACTGGGGTTTGCCCTGTGCCCTGAGGGCGAGTTTCCCCTGTGCCATGCTTGCCCTACACCTTGGGGGTAAGTTTGCCTTATGCCCTGGGGGCGAGTTTGCCCTGTGCCCTGGGGGCGAGTCTGCCCTGTGCCCTGGGGGCAGGTTTGCCCTGTGCCCTGGGGGCGAGTCTGCCCTGCGCCCTGAGGGCAGGTTTGCCCTGTGCCCTGAGGGTGAGTTTGTCCGGTGCCCTGGGGACATGCCTGCCCTACACCCTGGGGGCGAGTTTGCCTGTGCCCTGGGGGAGAGTTTGCCCTGTGCCCTGAGGGTGAGCTTGCCCTGTGCCCTGAGGGCGTGCTTACCCTACGCCCTGGGGGCGAGCTTGTTCTATGCCCTGGGGGCAAGTGTGCCCTGTGCCCTGGGGGAGAGTGTGCCCTGTGCCCTGGGGGCAGGTTTGCCCTGTGCCCTGGGGGCGAGTCTGTTCTGTGCCCTGGGGCAGGTTGCCCTGTGCCCTGAGGGCGAGTTTGCCCTACACCCTGGGGCCCAGCTTGTTCTATGCCCTGGGGGCGAGCTTGCCCTGTGCCCTGAGGGTAAGTTTGCCCTATGCCCTGGGGGTGGTTTCGTTCTATGCACGGGGGGG